GGGACCTAGAACACCAACAGTCGATTCAGAGTTTTTCAATTGTACGGTTCGTCTGACTGGAAAGTCAACTCATTGACCAACAAGGTTTTGACCCAAAATTGAAGACAATTATATTACTAATGGTATATCACATCTAGTCATGAAGTTTCATGACCATGGATCAATAATTGAGGAGTAATCGAAAAGTCGGGAAATTAAGGTTTTGAAAGGGGCAAGACCATAACTTCCTAACCACACATCCAAATGAAGTCGTTCAAAGCTTGTTGGAAAGGTCTTGAGGAGCCATACAAAAGTTCTACCGTGACCTATGTTCAAAAAATGAATGGATTTTGATTTATGATCAAAGACAATGTAAGAGGGTAAAACACTAAGTGAAATTTCATTGTTTTTTGCAGTTTTAAGTCATGTTTTCTACCAACTTCTAGAGGGTTTTTGACCTAGTTCCACTTGGAATTTGAAAAACCTCAAAACGTGAAAGTTGAAGACCATGATGAGGGCTTTCCAAAGAGTACAAGAACACCTCCATATAATTTGTAAGCTAGGAGTTTTGAAGGAGAGAAGTCGGGGTTCAAGCACTTGAGATACACAATTTCAAACTTAACATAAACCAACTTGCCAACTATACAATTGGTTTTCAACCATATTTTAGCATTTGATATGATGTCTAGAGTGTATGGTGAATGAAAATCAGAAGAATATTTGAGCTAAACCAAGATTGTGGTTAAAGTCATTATTTAATTCAAGGAAAGTACAAAAGTACACCATGAAAGAGAAGATTTTATGTGCCATAACAGCTGCAACCTAGTTTCTACTCACTTGACACTATTGTAGTCACTTCTCATGGCTTGTTTACAGGCTATGTATATAGCTCAATGCATTGGAAAGACCCAAAACCAGCTACATCAAATCTTGAACAAGATTCACTTCATTCTCCCTCCAAAAGACAAAGCACCTCACATTTTCAAAATCTGCCAAGAGCCTTACCTCCTCTATAAATAGAGACCTTCTCTATATGACATAAACACAAGAGAAATCACACAAAACCAGAGAAAACTTACCAAAAACTTTGCTTTTCACTTTTCTTGAAAATCAAGCAAGCTCACAAAAACTACTCAAAAACTATCTTGAGCACTTTGCTTGATAAAACCATTTCCATACACTAAAATTCATTAAAAAAAGCCATCTGCACAATCCACAAATAATGTGTAGAAGGTGTTCAAGCTCTTAAACCGGTCCAAAACTCCATATTTTCAAAAGTCAACTTTCAACCTAACAAAGTTTGACTCCTCATACAAAACAACATAATATTTTGCTCAGGCCTGTTTCAATCACCTCAACCCTCCAAACACCTTTGGTTTGAGGTGTACTAGGTGTCAAAAACATCCAAGAACTTCTACATTACTTGTTCTTAGATCTGTCACAAGTTTCCTTCATTTTCTTCAAGTGCAAGAAAGTCGCTTGGTTCATCAAGGCATTGGTTGGATATCAGTTGGAGTTCTTCAAGGTTTTCCCTACTATATAGCTTGCTTAGAGGACTACAAGAGGTTAGTAGTCACTACCTCATTCATGAATTGTCATGAACATGCCTAGTTTGCCTTGGTTGAAATGTGTTTTAAAAGAAAAAGCAGCTCATGTATGAATCTGTTTTTGCTTTGGTTTGGTTTTACTCATCATTATGTTTAAAAATTTTTGTTAATCATCACACAATGTTGTAATTGTCATGTGTTAACTTTTGAGACTCCCTAAGCATTACCCTAAGTCATGTATGAACTTTAGGAGGATTTGTTTGCAACTGTTTTTGGATATTGATGGTGGATTTGAATGTTGAACTATTCTATTTTTTGAACATTACTGTTGGTTCTGTGTAGTTTAGGCATGATTAGATCATTAGCATTTGAGAATTTTTTTAGATTATACTCAACACTGCTCTTATGCTTGATACTTGTTGTTTGAGTGTTGGTTCAGATTAGAGTATGCCTTGCATGTGCCTACTGCTTTGATTATGTTCTGTATGTGCCCTTTGTCTTATGTTTGATCATGAATGAATTTATGTTGGACTGATTGTTTGAGTATCGTTACAAGCCTTTATTCTACATTAGTTGCAAGTTTTGATAAGTCTTGTAGATCTTGATTCTGCTGCAAGCAGTTTTGGAGGTTGACTTTGTAGCCTCATGATCCTCAATTTCTTTGGTTGACATTTGTGTTACCAACTGGATATGTTTGATTCATGTTTAACTAATGATATGTTTGAATGAGTATATGTTAAAGTTTTTTTTTGGATCTGTTACAACCAATGTTGGCTGTTTTCAACTCATACCCTTTGCAAGTCACACACCACTTTCAATTCTAGCATAAATTTGAACAATCTTTATGTTTAGATCTTGCATATATTATGTTTATGATGTGTGCATAACTTTAAATCAGTGCAAGCATGTTCACATTTCACTCACACTTTAAAAATGCACTTCAAAACACCATTTTTAAATTTCCATCGGGTTTTGAATTATGAGCACAATTTGAGAAAACCAAGTGTACCATCGTTTTCCTTGTCAAAAATCACACAAGATATACCTAAGGTTTGTCAAATTTGATGATGTTTTGACCTATTTTGAATGTTAATGTTTTGTGGCATTTTGCTTGTTTTGGCCATGCCTAGTTTGTTGCCCAGATCAACACATTGAGGTATACATTGCACTAGGGTGGTTTAATACACTGGATGTATCACCACCCCAGTGATCGTGACCTATGTGCTCACGCACTTGCCTTGCCCATTGTCCTGAGTTTGATTCGTGTGGAGATCAACTCTTTTGTTATTTTTTGCATTTTTCATGTTTTGGCATTTAATCCTCTCTCTCCATGAATTGTTCACACGCGTGCAGTGGTTGGTTTGGGAAAGTTTTAGGTTGGTGACCCAAAGGTTGTGGGTTCAACACCTACCATGTGCACCCCCTTTCTTTTTATCACTTGTATTTTTTATGTTTTCTTCACAATTTTGAAAATCTCATAACTTCTCCATTTTCAAAATTTTTGATCCATTATTTTTACAAAATGTTCCTTATCATGTCTACTTTCACATAGTGAGAAAAGAGTTCAAGGATATTCATCTTAGAAATACTTGATACCACTTGAATGTCATGTTGCCTTTTAGGGTTTTTACCTTGTTTCTTATTGAAACTTTTCTCAAATTTCTTCTTGATTTAATCTTGTGAGATTGTTTTGTACTTGATTTACACATGTTTGTTAAGTTGTTTGGTGTTTGATTTTTTTTTTTACTCAAAGTATTGTCATACTTGATCCTTGCTTTTGATGCATCTAGTTGATTGTCATTGTGAACTATATTTGTGAATCATGCTACCTCTTGATGTTGTAATCTCTTGAGTGTGTTCTTCATGTATCCTCTACTAGTTTAGATGTATTGTTAGAACTCTAATATGTTGGGATTTAATTTGCTTTTGCTGTAACCATGAACTTATATGTTTCCCCATGAAACTTTGAACTCCTTAGTTAAATTGTTGTAACATTCCTTGTATGCTTACTTGTATTTGATTGTCATCAATGCATGGTTGTTAGTCTTATGTTGTTACATTTGACATTCTTTGAACCATATGATATACTTGCCTTAAGTTGTTACTTGCTTGCATTTAAACTTGTTTGCATTACATGTTGTTTATTTTGATGGTTGTTACCAAGTTTTCCTTCATCTTTGTTAAGATGATTCAAGTTGGTTTTCACCTCATATAATTGGTCTTGTAATAACCTCTACCATGTTCCCTCTCTATATATATTGTAATATTTTTGTGTATGTATGGTTGTAACCTTTTGACTTGGTTGTAGTCTTTGCTTGATGTTGTCGCACACTTGCATTTTCTTGGTTGTTACCATGCCCTGTCATATGCTCATCATGTTTGAATGAATGCTTTGGTATTTTATTTTTCTTTGTTAAGTTATTCCCCTAAGTGATGGAACTTGTTAGTTCTCATCCAGTTTCCTCATCTTTTCCCATTTCAAAGGAAAGTCTCTCTATTGACCCTTGGGTCATAGATAACTCATTACCCTCCCTTGACTTTGTTAAGTCATCTTGAACCCTAACTTAGTTAATTTAGAAACTATTATCCATTAGACTTTGCTTCAAGTATTAAAAAACCTACCCCATGTTAGGAGTACTCTTCTATTATAACTTTAAGATAGAGTTTGTTAACTCTATGTAAGAATCATTGCCATGATTGCTTACTTTCCCCCTTGGCTTTTATAAAAGTTAATTCCTTTTGAGTGTACAACTTAGAATAGAGATTTTTGTTAAACTCTATACAAGCATTGCTATGTTTGTTCCCCTTTGAGCCTTGATTATTATCAAGAGCTCTTCATACCTAGTGAGGTGAACTACGGTTGTTTTGATTCTATCCTAGTTAGGATACGTAGGCAGAGGATGCGATGCCTTTGCAAGAAAACATAGAAACTATCCTTAGGTATTTACCTTAACCTTATACCCTATCCCAAGCCATAAAAAGCATTTAGCAAATATATCATACAAACATACAAAAGGTTCCTGTAGAGTATTACAAATGTTTAGGATGTGAAATACCTACCCTAGGCATAACCAACCCCCGATCCCCGATATCTTAGCATTGTTGTTACATCGCGCAAAAGGTCTTTCTTTCTTTAACCTTTCCTTTGGATAAATCAAATTCCGGTTGTGAATTTAATGAATTAAGATTCAAGTTAATCAATAGCTTGGTATCACGATTTTCACCGCAACAGCGGCGTAACTCGTTGTCTGTTTACCTACTACTTATGTATAATCTTGATTATTAAAGTTATTCTTAACTTAATTAGTATATGTTGACAATTTAGTTATTTTTATAGTCTTTCTGTTTGATAGGACTAATTAGGAGTTGTTTGAATAATTGAGTTAAAGTTATGAATTTGTAATGATTAACCCACTTGAAATTATTCGAAATTTGGAGGAATCACGGTTTTATTAAATAAATTTGCGAATACAATCATATCCCACAATTTCTCCCACCTGGCCCACCATAAAGAAAGGCTTGCCTATACACAGGTCCTTCATAACCATGGTATCCCAAGTCATAACAATTTGAATTAGCATCTTTATATGACTTCATATCATCGGATTTTACGTCTACTTCATTATATTCTGAATCAATAATCTGAAGTCTTTCCATGAAAGACGAGTTTTTGTATTTTTCTTTGGGCAATCTCCCACTACCCATGGGCGGGCTATCTTTATTAGGTGGGGAATGAGTTTGACCTCCAAATCTAATCAAAGACGCTCCTTTGCTTATGTGATTGAATAATTCTTTTGGCCAATATCCAACATATACGGATTTTAACTCGACAATTAACCACCAATGACCTGTAGTTCGATCCTACATATATTGAAGAAAATAAGATATAATTAAGTAAGTTATTAGCCGATGGTATTAACCAATCACAAAAACATTACTTAAAAAAAAGAATAGAACAAAATAATTCTTAGATATTTTAAATTTTATATCATTCTTTTGAATTAGTTTAATTACTAGTATTTAAAGCTTCTCTGTAAAAATATTAGTAGTAAACACTTTTTACACGTCTTACATAAAATATTATTAAAATAATAAATAAAATTTTTAAAATATATATAATCAATATTTTACCTGTTTGATTTTAAGAAAAGCAAATGATTTTCTTGTTGACCCAATAGTATTAGGAGGTGCCATAATTGCCCCAAGAGCATACTCTTTATTATGATTAACTTGCACGAAACCCGGACAAATTGTATTGTAACATCCTGTTTTATTGTAACCATCTATCTGCATATTCATGTCAATTTGAACTTGAGGACAATAACATTATATATATTAAATTATTGCTTGCATTATATTCATATTCTTACCGTCCAACGAGCAGTTAAATGCGTTCGGCTGTCTCCGTATAAACTTGGATGAATCTTGTACATAAAAATTATATGTGAATTATATATTATTACAAAAATATGAAACTATCAATGAAAAAGTGTATTTGGAGAATGAAAATTATCTCACTCTCTCCTAATATAATTTTATGTTAATAAATAAAAACAGTCAACGTAAATATATAAAAAAGAAAACTTACCCCAAGTCCTACTTTTATGCTATTAAGTTGCGGCGGTGGCCCATTTTCAACCCAAATTGAAGATATGCTGTATTGATTATCTTGAAGTACAAGATCGTACCCAGTTATGCCCGCATATGCTCCATGAAATATCATGTTTTGGGTTGTATCAAGAGTAACCGTCTAAAAATACATAAATATAATATTTAAAATATGGAATATCATTTTTCTCTCTTGTAACCATGACTTAATTATCAAACCTTGAATTGAAGACAATGGTTTTGGCCTATCACAATATAAAATGGATGGACGAAAAAAAACAACTTACATAGGTGCCAGGGGAACTTTGAGAATCTTCCTGAAAATCATTAATTTGTAATTTGGAAGAGGAATTATTAACATTTTGATGTCTTCTTGTCATGTTGTAGAGAGGCACTTTTCCTGCTGGACATTCATTCACCGTTTCACCATAAAATGATGTCTTTTTCGCAAAAGTTGGGTAAAGCTACATAAGTTGCAATGGAGAAAGAGAATAAAATACGGGTCACTGAATTGAAATTGATGTTGAAATTCATTCCAAGTGAATAGATTAGTCCATGTATAGCGGAAATTTGAGGTTTGAAATCATGAATAATAAAATAAATTATAATTTTTTTGGTTAATTAAAACTTCATATAAAATATTATTTTCACAATAAAAAAAACAATCTTATAAATTCTTCAACAATTATACCTGAATTTTATGATTTTTTAGTGAAGGATGTTGTAGAGCAGGTTGCTTATAGATATCGACACAATCAAAATAATTGTCTATGGGAAGGTTGTTTTCCCCATCTAGTTGAATCTTGTTTCTTCCATCAGCTTTACAACATGCTATGCAGAAACTAAGAATGAGAAAGATAAATAGAGCCATAACTTTTTCAATGTTATTTTGAAGAATATGTGATACTTATAAGGGTATATATATATACAGATGTATTTTAAAACACAATTGAAAAGAGAAATGGTCATTTATGCATATAAGACAATCAAATTAGTTTATTAAGGTTGAGTATTCTATAATCCTTAATATTTAAATGAATCAATAAATGTTGAGTGTTTTATGATTTAAAGAAATAATAAAATAAAAAGAAAGTTGAATATTCATATTAAATGAAGTATGAAAAGATTAAAAAAAGTAGCGTCATTTAATGCATATAAAACAATCAAATACATTAATAAATACTGAACATTAGAGAAACCTTAATCTTTAAATAAATCAATAACATTTAAGTGTTATATTATTCAAATAAATAATAAAAAAAAAGAAAGTCATATGTTTATTTTTACTGACATATTAATATTGCCACAAACGCACAATTTATATCAATGCAATAAACTTATTGTTGAAAATATGAGTGGTTAAGTTGTGAATTGCCAATGAATAGATACAAAGTTAGATTTACAATGGGTTATCTTATATGAACTCTGATTTCGACAAAACTTTGAATGCTCTTAGTGTTTCGATTCCATATTTTGACCTTAGAACTTTTACTAGCGAGGAAATCGTCCCTCCTAAAACACAACATATTTTAGCTATTGTAATTTATGAACAATAAATTTCCATGGGTGTGTTCCAAAATGACATGAAAATTGGAAATCAGCAAATGCCAATAAGTGGTTAGAAATTCGAAGAGAAGTAACACTTCGTGAAGTGTTACTGCGGAATGAACATAGGCAATGCTTGGAAATAATGCAACTTTTGGTTAAAATGTGTTGTTTCATCAAGGGTCGCAACCTTGTGAAACAACACATACATGGTCTATAAATAATTCATTCCGGAATTCAAAAAATCATACCGCAAACCAAAAATTCTCTTGTACAAATTCCAAACACTCTTCGCTACAAATCGAATTTTCGTCGGTCTTGCGCAAGTTTGATATAAGGCTGAATTATCCTGGGTATTCCTGTGTTCCAAATCTAAGACATACAAGAGATTTCTTGAAATGCTTTTAAGAAAAGTGACATCATTCACAATTCATTCCTGGATCCATTCAAATTTACCGATATTTCTAACAAGCTTAAAAGTATTCAAGTGGCTTCCGTCACAACAGTTTCAAGCATCAAAGTTATGAAACAGGACCTTGTCAAGTTGAATCTGTTAAAGCAAGATTTTCTCTTGATGTTTTCTACTTAGGTTTTGATGATAAAAACAGTATTAAAAGAACAATGGTGTTATTTAATGTGTGATCATGAGTGCAGGTCATAATACTTAAAGAACCGGTTAAGGAGGAATGACTGTTACAAAAATGTACATATTACCAAGCTATTTTCTAAAAGGGATTTTGATGCTGATAAATCTCAGCATCTGAAGAAGCATCTCGTTAGTTATAATCTCATAATCAAAATTAGATTTTGATGATGCGTTCATAATCAGTGACAAAATTCATGATTATCCTACCAAAGATAAAGTACTACTATGTCCAATAAGTTACTGCTAAAGTCTAAAATCACAAGGCTCAAGAAGTATTGACATACTTTATGGATAATCTCTCCCAACGGCTCTATAAGTACAGAATTCCTCTAAAGACTAAGTGGTTAAAGAGCTCATCTCTTGTGCCAAAAATAGATCAAAGTACTTTCTTATCATTCATCCTTCAACAGCTAGTTCCCAGAAATCTACTATTAAGAAGCCGAAAGTTATACTAAAAACATGAACAAGAGAGAAATATGAAGTGACTAAAGTATAAAGGTGTTCTACACCTCTATCTAATTAAAGAAATAAATATCAACAATGAACATCTCTTGTGAACATGTAGAACCCATTGTTATTGTTGTAAAATGTAATAAGGCTTAAGGATTTCCTAAACCTAAAATCTTTGTTAGGATCATTCTCTGAAGCTGATACACCGTGTTCCCCTTTCTTCTAAATATGATATTCTTAAGAAAAGAAAAAGTCTTGGACAGGAGGTTTGAGCAAATAAGTCTTAGACATGTGCTCTAAGCAAAGGCAAAGTCTTGGATATGGGTATGAGCAAAAAAGTCTTAGACATGTGCTCTAAGCAAGGTAAAGTCTTGGACAATGATAAAACTGAAACACATTATGTATTTGACTCGGATTGCATATGTTTATTATCATTTAATTGTTATTTTCTTGCATTGTGTTTTTGTTTTGTAATATTTTAAGTTACATTGACCAATAAGAGCCTTTCACGAAGAAACAAAGTGAAACGGGCGAAAAACAGAGATTTTAAGGTTAATTACACACATGGTGTTCCACATGGCGTTGGCCATGAGGGTGGTCGTGAGGTGTAGGTTTTCTCCCACGACCCAATGGCTAGAAGACCGTGTCCACCACCATTTACACACATGGAGGACGCCATGACTTGGTGTTGGGTGCCATTTTGACAAAGGTGGAGTCAATCAAGGGCGGTAGCAGGTTGAAGCCATGACTAAAGGATTTCTCTCCCATGATTTCTGAAGGCCCAACTTGACATCCAAGGCAATGTTTCACTAAAACAGGACCTAGTTTCTCACTTTTTAGGAATTCAATCTTAGTCGTAACATAGACATAGATTCACTTTGTAAAAGCGATAATTCCTCACATCGAGGAATTACCGCACCATTTTTATGAGCAAGTGTGGAGCAATCATGGAGTAGAAGCTTGTCGTTATTTTCTTTACCAGTCTTGTACCAGATTCAAGTCTTCGATTTGGAGCAGGTTTTTAATTCATTCGCAATTTTTATTACTTATTTATCCCACATCGCCTTTATTTTCGTTTATTTCTTGCATTATCTTTACTTTTATTTATTTCCCGCATTGCCTTTATTTAATCATTCTGTTTTAATTTCTCTATTGTCTCGCACATTTACTCTTATTTATCTTATTGTTTTTATAATTATCTTCTCAAAACCAATTGAACACTTAACACATTTTTCCCCTAAATGACTTATTTCGATAATCAATTATATCCTATGTTGTTTACTGTAGTCATGTCCAGCTAAATCTTTAGTGTTGGGATGTGAGGATTGTCGTTTTGACGATACTCTGTATGTGGTGTCTGTAGGAATGCTTCAGGGGATGTTTTGGTTTTAATGCAATTTTTCTGTAGTTTATCTGATCGGATATTACGAAAGTAGATTCGTCATTACGTCTGGTAAGATTGAAATTCGTTTGACACTTAAGATAAAAATTGGTTAGTTTTAATTAAGAAAAACAGCGGAAGCGCTTTTTTAATCAATTAGGAAAATTTAATATTATTTGTCATACCCCAAATTTTTTCCCCTATATTCTATTATCATTATAGATAAATCAAGCATATGTTATCTAACCCTAACCTCTTTCAAGTTAGTCTTTGTTAAGATGTAGATGAATTAGGGTTTCACACTGTTAAAATCAAGAATCCTGTGGACTGATCAGTCAAGGTTTTAGATTGATCTTCTACATATAAACTTCATATCATCAAGGGGTTCATATCTTACCAAGAACAAGTTCTATTTGAGGTTGTTACCAAGAGAATTGAAGCAGTGTTGTACAAAACCCTGATTAGGGTTTCTAGTTGAAAAAGTCAACTATAGTTTGACTTTTGACTAAAATGGGTTTCCAAAGCTTGAAACATGGTCCATGATGTTTCTATAACTTATTGAAGTCCCCTCAAGAAGTATTAAAGGTTCAAAAAACCCCAGAACACTAAGGATCGATCCTGAAGATTTCAACTGTTCGGTTCGTCTGTTTGGAAAGTCAACTCTTTGACTTTTAGGGTTTTGACCCCAAATTGAAGAAATAAAGATTTACAACATCATGTTATGACTAAATAGTGATTTTGGTGAAGATTTAATCATGAATTGATGGATAACTTGTGAATCAAGAAATTAGGGTTTATGAAAAACCCTAATTACAAGCTTATTTGGAATGGTCATAACTCTCAAACCACACATCCAAATTGAATGGTTCAAAGCTAGTAAGAAAGCTCTTGAGAAATCCTACAAAATTTTCCAAAAAATGCATAGATTTTTATTTATGAGCTCATCAATTTGTGAAGGATTTCTACACTTAGGAAAATTTCTTGTTTCTTGACTTGTAAGTCAAGTTTTGCAGCCAACTTCATGAAGATTTTTGACCTAGTTCCCTTTGGAATTTGAAATTTGGCCAAACATGAAAATTTTAGATTATATTTGGGACTTTTTAAAAAGTACAAGAGAATTTTCACAACCTTTGTGGTTAGGGAGAATTGAAAAGAGCATGTTAGGGATTTTTCATGTCACAAAACCAAGTTCAGCACTTGCATTTTGATGTATAAACCACTTAAACCTCTTATAATCACTTGTTTAACTAATTTTATAATTTTTAGGGACTTAAATAATGAGATTACAATGAATAACCGCGAGCAAAAATTAGAAATTGGATTATTGGATTTGTTTATTCATGCAAGTGGATGCAAGTGGCAAGGAGAGAAAAACTTTTTGCATTTTCTGTTACACCTCAGCTACTGCATCAACTACTCTCTTTACTTCACTTGATTTCAACTATTTGCAAGCTATTGATGATGTTGAAATACATAGGAAGGTTGCTCATGCTCAAAAATAAATCCCATGTTGGATTTGCTCATTTTGCCTCTAAAAAGGGCAAACTTGGCAAGTTGGCACAATCTGCCCATACCTCTCATTCTTCAAGCTTGCCTATAAATATAAAACACTCATAACATCCCAAATAAACTAGAATCAACTAGAAACCAAGTTGAATCTCTCTCATTTCTCTGATCACCTTCTTCTTGCAAGTGGTAGAAGTTGCTTCCTTGTGAAGTAAAAATTGCCTTGCAAAAACTCTGCCACAACTCAATATAGCAACCAAACACTTGAACCAACACCTCAAACACATCACATATGATGCATTGAAGCTATCCAAACCCTCACATTCACCAGAAAACCTCACAT